ACTCCAATTGCACCTTGTAAAGCAGTAAGGTATTTATGTTTGTGGTGATTGTTCTCTGTTGCGGTGGCAGATGCATCTGGGGCGAGAAGAGCAGATGTAGCAATCAGCTTATTTTGTAGCTGTTGATATTGGTGATGTGAGTGATTACTATTGGACCCAGTTCTATTGGTGGTGATGGCGGCAACGGCAGGCGGCCGTATGAGCAGCAACTGGTGACAAGCAGTGTTGGCGGTGTGAATGTAAAATTGAGTGTGGTGACTGTGGCTTTTAAATTGTTGAGATGGATGGAAAATATATTAATGTTGTGACTCTGGTTGAAGTGTGTGGGCCTGGGTTGGTGAAGGCTTGCGGCTGTCGGGATTTCAGGTTCCTGTAGTCGTTGTGCTTAAGGTTGAAAATGATGGTGGTAATGATAAAGCAGGTAGCGTGGCTCGTGGATGATGCGATTTGGGTGGACGTTTGGGCTGTCGATGATGGAAGCCGACAATTGAAGGTTGACCGACGATGGGAGACGCGATTGGGGTTGCTGGCGTGGAGGACCGGATCTAGAAGCTGCGTCGAATTTGGACGCCGACTGGATCAAAGAGGATTGGGTTGAAACAGTATGGCCTAAGGTGAGTTGGGTCAAGTGAATGATATTGGGTAGTTGAGTTTGATGAGTTTGTAGTTAATTGGGCTACTTGTTTTATAATGGAGGTGAGGGCTTAGTCTTGTATGTGTGTATGGGTATATAATCTGGTTGGGCTGGAAGTAAGTGGGCTGGGAGACTTGTGCTAGGTTTTGATTGTTAGGGTTGAAATTTGTGAGAACAGCACTCAATAGCAGCACGTATAAAGGACTAAACTGAGATTTTTTTATTATTATTATTATTATTATTATTATTATTTATTATTTATTTTTTGTGGAAAATGATGAAAAATACTAAAATTAAATTTTTTTCAGGTCAACAGTACCCGTGAACAGTAACTCTTTTTTTTCCCACACAAAGATGGAGAACTAAAAAAAAATGAAAAATGCTACTTTTTACGCTAAATCTTTTCAATTTGTGTTGTACTAACAAATTTTGGGAAGAAAATAGGAAGGAATTTTGGATTGTATGAGAGAAAGTACCCAAGATTCGACTTTGGTATCAAATTTGATGCAGGATAAAGAAGATGATAGAAAGAAAGGGAGAGAAATCGGAGAGAATGGGGAAAAAATCGGAGAAGAAGTAGAAATTTAGGGGAAAGGGGAAGGAAGAGAAAAGAGACGCGACAACCAATCTCAATAATTCATATTCATCCAAAATCAATGAAATTATATGGCAAATTAGGTTTTAAATGGTTAAAACAAAACCCTATCTAGAACAGGATTGGGCCAATACAAGGCCAATTACATAAATAGAATCCAAAACAAAAACAAAGTCCAATTAGAAATAAATAAAATAGATGATGTCCTCATCGCTAATTTCACTTGCATTACCTCTCTTCACCTTCCTATGTTCCTCTTAAGTTGACATTTTACTTTAATACATGCTTCCTATTGTTTCATGACTATCACAACCATTTAGTAAAACTTATAGTTATAATTGACTCTTCACAACCCAGGGTTTATATAGACATTTTTTTAAAAAATAAAGCAATTAAATAAGTCGGGTCAATTTTAAACTATTAGCCCATTTAAGTTTACTAACAAATCTAAAATCCATCAAAAGACCCAACTTAAATTAAAAGCTGATAATAAACTAAAAACATCATCCTACATTTAAAATTCAATAAATCAAATTAAATCAAATCAAAAGTGGGTGGTTACAAAGTGTTTAATGGACCAAAGGTCCATGAAAATAATCACAAGTAAATGGTACAAAAGAAATTCCAAGCCGGAGGAAGAGAAGAACTCTCTCAAGCTTAAGTTCAGGAACACTGAGAAGATCAAAAGCTTTTCAAATTCAAGTAAATCCAAGACAATTCTGGAAGATCAAAGTCTTCTTCAAATCAAAGCAAAATTAAATCAAAGTCTGGAATTTCAAATCCTAGTGTCAAACAAGCCAAGTTCTCAACAAATCAAGTCTCCAACAAATCTTGAAGTCCAAGATCCAAGACAAGAATTCGTATTACAATTTCGTGTATTAAAATATCGAAATTGTTACAAATTGTATTTTTGAGAAATACAAGTGGATGTTGATCTTCTTGTGACTACAATAATTGTACGATCCTTTGATTAATGGGGGCCACGTGGCTTGGATAATGGACTTAAAGATTTCTTGGAGACTTGTGATAGGCTCCAATCCACCTCACGTATTCTAGAAGGACCCAAAAGAGGAATATTTTGTAAGTGGATGGGAAACTAAAGTCTGTTAAAAACGGAAATTAGTTAGGAAGGTCTGCTAGAAGTATGCTATAAAGATAGGTAGATGATAGCCCTATAGGCAGGCAGAAATTGGGTAGTTCCTGGGGAGAGCAATGGACCTCTCGAATGTCCTTTTATCATTTTCATTCTAGTCATTTACAATTCAGTAGAGTACAATAGTGTGAGTGTTATTCTGTCATTTGCATCCTATATAGAAAACCTTCAATTACAGACATTAATTCAACTATTGTTGAGTTTATCTTCTATTTTCATCTTATTTCATTCCTTGGTATCTTTAATTTGGTGTGTTGGCTGGAGTTATCAACAGGTTCTTATCAACTTGATTTGTTGAGAAATTGGATTGTTTGATACTTGAATTTCGAGGCTTGGATTTGAAATTCGGGACTTTGATTTGAAGAAGATTTTGATCTTTTGGACTTTGCTTGAATTTGAAGAATCCTTTGATCTTCTCAGTGTTTCCTGAATTAGGCTTGAGAGAGAGACTTCTCTTCCTTCAACTTTGGAATTTCTCCGCACTTGTGAATTTTTCTTTTTTTTCTTTTTTTTTTTTGTGCACCTTTCACTGGTGATTTTTTTTATGGACCTTTGGTCCTATTTATAGGGAAAATTGTAACCACCCACTTTTAATTTGATTTATCAAATTTTAAAAGTAGGATGGACTTTTAATGTAGGTTGGGCCATTTGATGGATTTTAGATTTTCTTAGTAAACTTAAATGGGCTAATAATTTAAAATTTACCCGACCCATTTAATTGTTATATTTTTACTTTTTTAATGTCCATAGTTGCTTCACATTTTGCAAATGTTATCTGTGCTTCATGATTTGAAAATATCATACTACTTAATTTTTTGAGTTTATAGAAAGCATTTTTGTCCTTGCTGATTCTATGATCAGAAAAATGGTCGTGTAGTTTGATATCAAATGCTTAAAATCTTTGTTTTCTCCCATTTTTCCTGGCTTTGAGAGCTTGATGAAATTGTCCAAGCTGAAACCTTTGTTCAACACTGAGGAATGATTGTACCAGTAATAGTGATGCATGTAGAAATACTAATGACAAGTCTCTTAGCATCTATGGTTACAGGTGGTAGTATATTGGTTGGACAATAAAGTTTTCTGTCAACTGATCGTATTGCACCAATTTATGGAAGTATCCCTTTACACGTCCTTTTATCATTTGATCCAATGAACTGAGCTTCTTATTGTTGGAGTAGAGTCATAATTTTTTTTTAAGAGTAACTATTGATTTTCCTGTCATAATACCAATATTTGAACACATACTTCATATTTGCTAGAGAGAAACAATGTGAATGAAGAAGTAATAGAATTACATGTTTCTCTTTCATAATCACATTGTTTCTCTCTCATAATTTTTTGACGATCAAGTAGGTCTGATTATAATGGCTGGGGACAGAGTTGGTTATAATGTGATAACAGTCAGATATCTCGCTTTTATTTTCCTGTTTCACAGCCGTCTGCCTTTCAAGTCATATCTCGATTTGCCTTCTGCAGGAGACTTGAAAAGGATTAAGAATCTCGTTGTAGACACAAAGATGAGAGATATAAAAGTTGTTTCTATTTTGGTCAAGAGAATGCTAGAGAGAAATGTGTTTCTTTTTGGTTCTGTGGATGCCAATGAAGGCTCTGCAACAGAGAGAATAAATGAACTCACAGAAATACAGAATGCTCGTGTCCAAACAGCATATAAGATGTAAGTTCCAAGCTCTTTAAACTTTTTCCAGTTTCATAGAATTGTTAGCCTTCACCCTTTTTCTGGTATCACCTGGCTGTGTCTTACGTGCCAGTTTTACTGAATAGGTTATTTGCAAAAACAAGGCTTGAGCAATTCATCCACATGGACTTGGTGAGTTTCACAATGCCTTGTAGATAATTTTAGAGTTTCGTATCTGCTTTGTGTTTGATAAAGGAGATAGCATGCAGTAAACGTTGAAAAATAGTTCAAATGAAAGGGAGTTTAAAGTTTAATTTGTGGCCTTGAGAAACAATTTTGGAAGTGACTAAAGTGGTACTTGGAGATAAGTTCATATCTTAATATGCAAATTGAAAAAGGGTCAAATTAGTATTGATATTTACAACCCACATGCGGTAAGAGGCAGTTATTTAGGTTCTTGCATATGCCAACAACCATAACTTCTTTATTATTATTATTATTATTATTTTTTTTTTTTGGGGGGGGGGGGGGGGGGGGGGGTNGGATCTGGATGTAAATGGCATCCCTTTGTGGATTGTCATCTCCTTTTCGAATCAGAGTAATTGATCATTTTTTACGAGTGAAGAACATTAAAAAATACATCTTCATTCCTATTTAATCTTAAATTTTCAGAATTACTTTCAAGTATGCAAATTCCTTTCGTGAGTGCAAACTTACCAAAGGCTTGTCATATCCACTAATGCTATTTTCTAGAGTAAACCCGGAAGCAATCTCTAACCTAGAGGGGGCAAATATTGCTTTTAGGAAAGCATATCCCATATGCATTTCAAGCCCCTGTTTTTTCAGATTTTCTACATCTTCAGTTCTTGTCTTCGGTTCGTGTTTTGGTATTCAGTCTTCAATTTGGTGATTGATGATTTGTCTCGACTTTCCTCTGGAAATTTTCCAACAGCGTAAACCGTGAACCTGTGTGATGCTAGTAGAAGTAGTAATTGATTCGGGATATAGAAGCATTGCTGGCTGCATGATATTTTTGAATTATACATTTTCTCAAACTCTTGTTGTCCAGATGTGGGAGGTAACAATAAGATATCAACAAGAAAAATGATGTATTAGCCACGTTTTAATAAACAATCTGAATAGAGTTTGACCCATTTATTTATATTCCAATTTGATTCTCTAAATTTGTGCAACCTTACATTCCTCACTGGTAGTTTGGCGATCAAGTATGAAGCTGCTCATCCTGTAGGTTATGGATCCTTTTAGGAGAGTTATCCTCAGGTTTTACCTGATAATGTGCTAGAGCCCAATTTTGACCTAAAACCTTAAACACGAGTAATAAAGGGGAGTCAAGTGAATAAATGCGAGCCCCTGTTATGGAAAAATTAAAGCCTGTGACAATTTGGGCATGTAGATGTCTTATCCCAAAAAAAAAAAAAAAAAAAAAAAGAAGAGGGGGAGAGGAAGAT